ATCTCAGCTAGAGAGTCAAATCTCTGATCAGCTGCATCAGGAAGTACTTGAGTGTCTCAGCCCTTATTTTCTCTTTTTGGTATTTTAATCTTCAGTGGTTTATATGGCTACTCAGTTACCCAAAATCTGTGTCCAGGGCTTGGGGCAGAAAATTTCAGGGGCAGCAGGCTGCATGCTTTGCAACAGAAACAGAGTAAAAACAAGTACCTCCAAGTCTCATTCCTGTCTTATGATTACTGACCCATCCACATTGCAATTTGCTTCCAAATTCAGCTGTAGGTAGCTGTTCTCAGGTAGGGCTTTTGCTTATCACAGTTATAACTAGCACTTCATGGCAACAGTTTATCCTTCTATTTGGGGGTTCAGGCAGCCCCTAGTCATATTCCAGTGAGTAGCCCCTAGTCATCGTCCAGTGAGTGAATCAGAGTTCTGCACTTTTGCAGTGTATTCCTTACTCATCCTTTTGTACAAATTTGATGACTCATCCTTCCTCTTAGGTCTGCCTGTAGTAGGGCATCCTCAAATACAGATGGTAACAGTGCTGCTGTTCTCTGCCTCACCAGGGCAAAGAGCTGTGGTACATGAGCTAAAAAGCACACAACATTGTTATAGCAGAGAAACTAGTCATTGTTAAATTATAAGATTGTGTTCAATTAGTTACCAAAAAAAAGTCAAAGTCTGAAAGAAATGTTGTCTTCTGACAATTGAAAGTTGCACTGCTACCTTTTTATTATTTTTTTAAATTAGATAAAGAGGGCAGGCAAAGCAGAAGGGTTTAGATTCATGGCCAAGTTCCCCTCTTTGCCAACAAGATAGCAGTAACAGTGTTATAACTTGTGTTTTGCACTACATATATCTTAGGTTCTAATAAATATACAATACCTTATCCCCCTAATCAGTAAAAGAAGAAACATGCAAGCATTAACTACAAGTAATTTTGTTCCATTTAATTCTCTTCCAAAAATGTATCACAAAGTTCATGAGCTTATCTTGCTAACATGAAACTTGTCAACTCTCCTTTTAACTAATTCCAGCCCCATAGCTTTGAAGCTTGCAGGGCTGTGGGGCACGGAGCTGAGCAGATTTCCCAGGAAATCTCGTGTATGTGTGTGGGGGGCAGCATGCCATGACTGTAGTCTCACTGTAGCTTTTTGCAATCATTTCCAATGTCACAGTGACCTGCAGTTATTTGAAAAGAAAGTTTCCAGCTGCAAGTATCTTTAATTTGCAAGTCCCACCTCCTCACTGAAAGCAGCCTGCTGGGGCTGGTATGCATCCCTATTAAAGTCATGTGAACATTTTTTTTATATTTTTAAATACATGACACTTCTGATCTCATGATTATTACGTAGGAACTCAAGTTAGGTTTGGCTTTCACAGCTAATGAGTGCTGCTGAAACGATTTTTATACTTAGGCGGTGGGATGCACAGAGTGGAACTAGAGATGAGTCAGCAGTTAGCTAAGGTTATTCGAATAGCAGTACGAGCCGTGCCTGCCGCTAGGAAACCGTCTGCAAAGGTCACACCAGCTGCCTCGTGTTCAGACACTACCACCCCGGTGACAGGAATTCTCTTCAGACTCCCGCGGTTTTGAGACCGAGCACCGTTCTCTTTGACATTTGGATGTTCCTGTATTAAATACCTACAGTCTGGTATCTGGGTGGCAGGGAAGAATGCTTGACATCACTGGTACTATTCAGAGTGAGGCGTGCCTGCCAGACTGACAGATGCTGCTCTTTCCCCAGCGAGGGGAGTTAGGCTCTAAAATTAGTAACTATTAAAACAAGTGTATTGATTAGGGATCTGCTGAGCCTCATCAACAAGAAGAGGAAGTAAGGAGTCACCACTGCTCTCTCTACAGGAGTTAGGACTGTAATTCACAAATAGGGACAGCACAGCTCACAAAATGACTGCCCTGGTACAGAGAAAGCTGAGTTGATCAAGGATAATCAGGTGCTGAGCCACAGCAGATCACAGCACACAACATTCAAGCAGAGCAAAGGTGGTGAGAACCTTTACAAGTAATTACCTAGGCTGATGGGAGTGTGCGTGGGGAGTGTTAAGCCAGACACAGGATGTGTGAGACAGTTCCCTAGTGAGGCACTGCTTCTCACAAACAGTCCTGGAAAGGAAACGCTTTATAAGCTAAAACTCATTTAGAGTTCGGCTCTGTTGCCTCTGCAACCACAGGAAACAAGCATTCCAGCCCCACTTGTGAGTCATAGTTTTTGGGAACTTCACCTAGGTGAGCAGGAAAGCCTTCAGGTAGAATTGATCTCTTTTATTCCCTCTCTTGGGATCACTGCCTAAGCTCCTTCATTTGCCAAAAAAAAAAAAAAAAAAAAAAAAAAAGGCACAATAAGAAACACAGCTGCTTTCGATGGTTCCACCCTCCCTTATTCAATTGTTCAGTGGTTTAACATTCAGCCTGAATGTTGCAGACCTACTTTTAATTCTCTCTTCTAGCAGAGAGGATTCAAGGCCACATTGTTCCCGCCCTCGACTCAAGTGACCTAGCTACAAAACAACTGAATTAATAACAAAAATAAAAGGAGAAAGGCATCCCATGACAAACGCCTTCATGTTCTGCTGACCCACTTCAGTGAGAGCACTTGAAAATTCTGTGTGGCTCTTACTGAGACTGATTTTGCCAGGACTGAGAACTGCAATTAGTCTATAAAACCAGTGTTACTGGTTCCAGGCAGACACAGACTTCAAGACTGCCTCTGCATCAGAGCTGAGTGGAGGTTTAAAATTTCTTTGCAAGAGAAATCCCAGGCCTCTGAATTACCCACCAAAAGTCTGTTTTTATCATTCTCTTAGACATGTTTTTATGAGTGCATCAAATGCCATTAAACTTGAGAGAGTAAAATAAAGATTCTGCCAAAGGCAAGGCTAAGAACAATAGTAGTAGTGAATTACAGTTTGTCATCACAAGACCAAACGGCATATAGGTATTGCTATACAGCAACACAGCCCCAGCCCATAAGCAAGCACTGGGGTTAACAATTGGCATTTATTGCTGTAGGTAAATACCAGCTGCCTCACTCTGAACCTCGGCAGTTTAGTTTATATCACAGGTTTTAGTCTTTCATATGTAAACAAAGTTATGCAAACATATAAATTTGAATTTGGGGTAGTTTTTTCAAAGCTAATCTTAAGAAAACGAGAAGAGTGCTCACTGAGATACCGAGAAATGAAATGCATGAGCAGTGTCTCTGGTTTGAGTTACAAGGAAAGCTGTAAGTCCTTTTGAAACCCAATCTTTTCCAAACATACACCACATGTGTGTTTGTACATGTAGGCCTGTAACAACAGCTTGCAGAGACCTTTTTTTACTCTTTTTTGTAAAAACGAATTCGATTAAAGAGCCAAAATTCAGTGCACACAAAAGTTGCAATTTGAAAAATCCCGACAGCGTTCGCTCTTGTTGTGGCAGGAGCTTCTGTGGGAACTGAGAGCCTTTTCCCCTGGAAGCTGCACCAAATGAGCTCTTCGGGAATAAAAAAAAAACCCCACCAACAAAACTGACAAAAATTGGCGTTGAGAGCCCTCGCCCTGCAGCAGAGCTCGTGCCAGGAGCTGTGCTGCCACCTGCTGCTGGCCCCAAGCTCCCGCTCGCTCCCTGCCAGCAGAGCCCTGCGGGAATGCCGGGGGCGGCAGCATCTGGCCGACTTCGCCTCCTTCAAATTGCTTTCATGGATAGTTTACCCAAGTTCTTTTTTGAGTTTTTATCTCTGCTCTCTCTAAACGTAAATATTTTGCGGGGGGAAAAAAGCCCCAACAAAACAAAACAAAAAGCAGCAAGTGAGCAAAAACATTAGTGGAGCATTTGGATTTCTGCTTCCGATTCCTTCGAAACAGCGATGTACTCTCAGCCAAATGACTTTACTTAACTTCGTACTGTAAACTCTGAAGGGGTTAACAGTGTAATTCCTAGAAGTGTCAGAAGCACCTCTGATCACCCTCTCAGACCAATGAAACCAGAACCACAAGAGTTCAAATGATGGCAAAGTTGCTTCAGAATACTGTAGTAAATCTGCAGTGCATTCCACGGCACAAGAACTAGAGGATATAATTCTGAGAAACGGAACAAAAAGGAATGCCTCCTTATGTATTGTATATTGTTTCATTTGGAAACCAAGAATAACATTCTCAGACAGAAAACAAAAAGGAAAGAGACAGTACACCTTCCTTCTTCATCCAGCCCCGTTCTCACTGTGCTTTGAAAGGAAGACAGGAAGATAAAAGACAGAAAGAAAAAATAAATTGTTGCAATGAAATGTAATTAATTTAATCCTGGCAGCCCCACAGATGTGGTAAGAAGCATCACTCAAGCACTCTGCCCACACATGGTATCTTTTTTAGAGAAAACACTAGGATTAACATTGTAAGTTTTTAAAAAATGGTATTAATATAGTACTCAGTGTTGAGAAATGGAGAAACTGAGGTGGCAAAATACACCCTCGATTACATCCGTAAGATTTAAAATGTTTAATGTGCAAGTCTTGGACAGAAATGATTAATTTACAATGCCCTAAAATCTGAAGGATGGCAATTTCTTCTTCATTGTGTATGCTCACAGTAGCAGGTGAAGTGCTCAGTCACTGTAGTACAAACATCAGTATGCTTAAGAGACTTATGCATCATTTTTAAGGCAAAACCAGGTAACAATACAACTGCAAACAGCTGCAAAATATTTACAGATATCATTAGATAAACAGTTCACTTCTTGCATGAAAATTTTAATGATGTGCTTACACAGCAGTGGCTTATTTGAAAAGTTACCATTAAAGATGTAAAATTAATCTAGCTGGGATGAGTAGCACTGACACTTTTACCTGGGCCTCCACACTCCCTGATCTTTGTCCCTCCACCTCTATCACTGTAAGCTGTCCTCTCTCCCTGTCCCTTTCCAGTCTTATTCCAAAGGTGCAGGTGTGCCTGAGCAGCCCTAGAATTCATAGAGGGA